GCCTCCAGCTTGGGGCCATTTGTTGGATGGCAGCCAGAGCGCCCACCTGCTTCAGCCTCCAGCATGCCTTCCCCAGCTGGGCAACTCGGATGGGCACTGCTGACTCATAGGCTGCCTAGGCTGCAGTAGCATGGTCCACATGTGCAGCTGGCCCCAGACTGCACCGTACAGACTTGCCTCTAGCACAGAGGCTGCCTGAGCCCACCATGGGAGTGGCTGGCAGCTCCCACAGCAGAACATGACCTGACTCCTCCTACAGCTTCTGGTCTCAAATAGAACACAGTGCATGGTTCTGGTTTCCTCAGAGGCACTCAGTGATACAACATAGCCTCATGGAGAAGTTACCAACCATGAGGGGTAGCTTTAACCAGTGAGAGCCAGGAGAGCAGAAGGGGCTGGCTGATGAATTTCCTGCCCTTCCCGCACATCTCCCACCACCATCCTAATGGGTTGTTCTGTAATGCAGTGGTTCGGATGGCTTCCCCAGTGACATCCACGTGACTGTGAAGTCAGCTCCATCTTTCTTAGGGAGCTGTGGCTGGCCCAGTCATGCATTGCTTTGTGTTTGCTTTCCCCATTTTCTGGACTCACTTCCCCTTCACCCCACCCTTACTTCTCTGGAATTGCAAACTCGCCCTGACTCTCTTCCAAAAATGTCTTGCCTCTTGTGCTCTTCCGAGAGAAAACTAAAGCCTTCATCTCATAAATGTACATAGCCAAGGAAACATAGGTGCATAATCTATGATGGCATCTGTAGGGTCTTCCTGTCTTTAATGATATAATTTGAGACAGCACAGGTTTTTCTTGTGTCCTCAGGCTGTGCTGCAATTAGTGACTGATATGGTTTGGCTCTGTGTCCCCACCCAAATCTCACCTTGAATTGTACTCCCACAATTCCCACATGTTGTGGGAGGGACCCGGTGGGAGATAATTTGAATCCTGGGGGCGGTTTCCCCCATACGGTTCCCATGGTAGTAAACAAGTCTCACCAGATCTGATGGTTTTATCACGGGTTTCTGTTTTTGCATCCTCCTCATTTTCTCTTGCCATCACCAAGTAAGAAGTGTCCTTTGCTTTCCGCCATGATTCTGAGGCATCTCCAACCATGTGGAACTGTAAGTCCAATTAAACCTCTTTTTCTTCCCAGTCTCAGGTATGTCTTCATCAGCAGCGTGAAAACAGACTAATACAGTGATTACACGGTTACCTTATGCTCAGCGGCATGACAGGTTACAGGACCATTGGTGGCATCACAAATCTCATTATGAACAGTGTGTTACGGGTTCAATTGTGCTTCTCCTCAAATATATGTTGAAGTCTTAACTCCTGGTACCCCTAGTTGGAAATAGGGTCTTTGCAGGTGTAATCAAGTTCAGATAAATTATGAATTGTGTTGGACCCTAATCCAATATGACAGATGTCCTTGTAAGGCCTGTGTCACTATTCCCACCCAAACCTCCCAAGGCAGGAGAATGGAGGATTCTTCTCTGGGAAAATGTATGGCATCTCACGTCAGTTCCTCCACTTATTCCGCTCAAGTCATTTAACCACTCCGAGTCTGTATATAAATCTACAAACTGGATATAAGGATGTTGTGAGATGCAAAAGAAACCATGAATGTGAAAATTCTTCAAAAACCAAAGGGTATGGTTCGGTGTTCATCACTATTGCTATCACTGTGGCCAACCAACCCATCTGTGTATGAACAACTTTGGCTTCTTTCAAAATTGAAAGCAAGGCCAGGTGTGGTGGCGCATGCCTGTAATCCCAACACCTTGGGAGGCTGAGGTGGGCCGATCACCTGAGGTCAGGAGTTTGAGACCAGCCTGGCCAACATGGCGAAACCCCATCTCTACTAAAAATACAAAAATTATCTGGGTGTGGTGGCATGTGCCTGTAATCCCAGCTACTTGGGAGGCTGAGGCAGGAGAATCGCTTGAACCCAGGAGGGGGAGATTGCAGTGAACCAAGATTATACCATTGGACTCCAGCCTGGGTGACAAGAGAGAAACTTGGTCTCATTAAAAAAAAAAAAAAGGAAAGAAAAACTCTGATACCATGTGCAACTATATGCCTTAAGCCCACAACCTTCTCAGGAATTTACTTATCACTGAATATCTAACTGGGTGCAATGCTCCCTAAAATAATTTATCATAAACAGAGCCTCTAAAGTTCTCTGTCTCTTGTTTTGCTTTATATGAAATAACTATGAGGATAAAAGCAACTGTTAACAGACAACTTCTTCCTACCTACAGAAGATTCTCTCGTGTCAAGGGGAGCACAGTAAAATGTTCCCAGATGAGACATTCGTGTGTGGGGTTATGGGCCCATTATTGAACAAAATAAGTGTTCGTAGCTCACCAGGCATCTGTCAGTGTGCTTGCTGAAATCAAACAAGTAAACTCAGAGGCATTCGCCCAGATAAACACCACCTGCCTCTGCATTTTAGAAGATCACTTTAATCTCTCCAAGTCAGAAATTTTCTTCCTAGACACCAACTGCTTCTTGAGGAACAGTTTTTGGGAGAAGAGTGGAATCCCCCTCTCATCTCAGCCCAGTACTTTGGCAGGTGCTAATTACATCCTGGATCAGAGAGAAACTTCTGCACACTTCAGCATTGGGGGAGGTGGCAACCGCATCTCAGCAGGCAATGAGTGGATGGGAAATTGCTAAAAAGCCTTTCTGGCCAATCATAGGGGCTGGGGAGGTGGGGGTCATGGGCTCTTTCCCTTGGAAGGAAGGGAGCCATTGCTGTAGCTCTCCACTGTCAGCAAACAGACAGGCTCCCCTCGTGTCTCCAAAACCCCTAGGACCATCCAGGAGCAGGCCGTTGGAGGAAGCCCCCACACTCGCCAGCTTTCCAACTCTCAATAAGCTACTTCTTTCTTCTCTGTCCATCAGAAGAGTGACATCTGTTGAATGGTCGGAGTGCATGATCCCTAGTTGGCCATTCTGAAAACAGAAGGTCATCTCACAGATTTGTGGTGGTACTGCTGGGCCTGACAGGTTGGGCTGCCTTAACCTATCCCACGTGGTGTGCAGACACTGAGATTTCTCTGCAGAAGTATTTATGTGTTTGATTCCAGGGTGTTGCCTGGATCTCTAGAGTTGCTGGAGGTGTCGTGCAACGTACAGAGTATAGATGATATCACTTTTTTAAGTATTTTTGGGAAAAACACTGATTCCAAAATACGTCTGGCCCTGAGAAATTGTCAACTTGTACTTGGTGGTATTTGAGACCTGCCTTGACCCTCTCACCTAGACTAAGAGGAACACTTCTCAGGCAAACAAGAGCACACAGCCTGGGCATTTGCCTGATACCCTCCACATTAGCTGTTCCTCCCATGAAGCTGCTCATGGAGAAGGATAAAGTGAACACACCTGGCTGTACCTTTCATTTGCTGCATCATTTCCCCATTGAGGACTCAGTTTCCCCATCTTCAAATGAGAAGTTCTACTTTCTAACATCTAGTCATTGTGTGCCATTGAGTCCCAAAGCACCAACTGTGAAACTCAGTGTTATGGACTGAAGGTTTCTGTCCCCCCAGAATTCATATACTGAAGCTGCAACACCTAATACAGTTGTAGTTGGTGATGGGGCCTCTAGGAAGTAATTAAGGTTAAATGAGGTGACACAGGTGTGCCCTTATAAGAAGAGACACCAAGGCGGGCACAGTGGCTCATGCCTGTAATCCCAGCACTTTGGGAGGCCAAGGTGGGTGGATCACTTGAGATCGGAGTTTGAGACCAGTCTGGCCAACATAGTGAAATCCCATCTCTACTAAAAACACAAAAATTAGCTGGGTGTGGTGGTGCATACCTGTAATCCCAGCTACTCAGGAGGCTGAGGCAGGAGTATCACTTTAACCTGGGAGGTGGAGGTTGCAGTGAGTCAAGATTGTGCCACTGCACTCCAGCATGGGTAACAGAGTGAGAGTGAGACTCCATCTCACACACACACACACAAAAAATACGACGACACCAGAGAACTCAACCTCTTTCCATGCACACTCATGGAGGAAAAGCTGTGAGCATGTGGGGCACAGAGAATGAGACCCCAGGGTATGGTGCCTAGCATGCTGGGCACTTTTGAATGTGAGGAAGTCGGAAGCCACAGGAGCTGCCTCAGAGCCAAGGACTTTCTAATCTTCTCTTGTCTTACTTCCCTCTCCCCACCCCTGCCCCAGCACAGAAGCAGCACTCTGAAATTTCCTTATCTGATTTTGGAAGCTTCTTTCCAAAAGAAATGCAATTATCTGAAAACCCCCCTCCCTAGAATCTCATTAAATAACCAGGAAAGATTAACCACAGGGAGAAGAGACTGGAAGTCATCACCACTTCCAGAGAGACTTTCATCTACTCTTCTGAGGGCAGCTGGAGACATCACCTGGGAGACTCTATCTGCAAAATTAGACAACCTTTGCTCACAGTGAAGTTCCACCCCTCACCTTCCCACCACGTCCTCCAGAGCACAGAGGAACTTCGTCCCAGGACATTGTTCTTTGGGCTCATTCATTTACTGAAAGTCATTTACTGCCCCTCACACTTGCCTATATCCCCATTTCCCTCTCCCTTATGAAGAGGGTATTTAAGCCTCAGCCACCTGGTGCTTCTTTCAATCTCATATTTTCTGTGGTCCTGTGCTTATGCACATTAGCAACTTTGTGTGACTTCCTTTCTCGTATTAGTCTGCATATTGTCGGTTTGTTCAAACCTTCAGAGGAAAAGTTTGAACTTCCCCACAGGACACAGCAGGATGGCAGCCATCTGCAAGCCAGAAAGAGAGACCTCACCAGAAACCAAATCAGTCAGAACATTGACCTTGAACTTCCAGCCTCCAGAACTGTCAGAAAATACATTTCTGTTCTTTTAAGACACACAGTCTATGTTATTTTGTAATGGCAGTCCAGGCTGACTGATACGCACAGTGTCCTTGCCATTCTAAGAAAAAAAAAAATCCACAAAATACTGGTGAGATTTTAATTAAAAACCACAACAAATAAAATCTGAACTTGGATTTTAACTGTAAAGGATTAATCTGTATTCCATGGCTAGAGAAAAATGAAATTCAAGTGTTAGGAAAATCTAAGCGGCTAAACCCTTGAGGTGGACAACAGTTGGACCAGAGACACTGCTCGATGCTAGGACTGGCTATGAGGGATGGTTTCCTGGCAGCACTAGTGTGAGACCATGGCTGGGAGGGAGGCCAGGCTCGGACTGAGATGCAGAGGACTCCTCCCATCACACTTCAGCTCAGGACCCCAGGATGTTTTCCGTGGATCTTCCTAAAATTAAGAAGTGGATTTGCAGTTAACACAGAAACAGCAGAAAGGAAAAAGAGGATGTACATGTCTCAGTTACAATGGAGGAGAGATTCACTGCAAGCAGCAGAGCCTGGTTTTGCATGCTGTGCTGAGAGTTCAGAAACCCCACTCCTCCCATTGTGTGGCTCAACCATCCACTGATTTTTGCTTGTTCTCAGTGGCCCTGCCTTTTTCTGCCCTTGAATAAATGTTTGAAGAAACAGCTATCCTCCCAGGCAAATGCACACCTCTCTTTCTATAGGCAACCAGAGAGAAAATCTTGAGTTTGGGATTAGAAGAATATGTCTTCTGAGCTGATTCTCTAAAGGATGCCATTACAAAAGTCCCCTAAATGATAATTGCGGACTTTGTCCTGTTATCAACCACCCCCATCACCCCTCAAGCAGCTAGGTTTAAAATTGCCTGCTGACTGATTCCCTGGGGTTTTCTATGTAACTCTTCCATCTCCAGTAACATTGCACATGTGCACACATGCGTGCATACACACGCACGCACCCTAAACACACAAATATTTATTGAATGCTATGTGTGAGACAGTGAAGGCCTTATGGAAAGTGTACAACATGATACCTGCCCTCAAGCAATGATGATCCTGTTGGAGAGTGTGTAAATCTATGAAAAACCAATTTGCAAAGCAAGAGTTAACTATTACCAGCCCCAAGGGAAGAGAGGACAGCTTAATCTTTAATAAAGCTGCCACCTCTGACCCACTGGGTTCTCACAACAGCTCTGAGAAATGCTCACGGCAAAGGCTGCAAAGTGATGAGGGAAGGACCGGAGGGGTTAAGCCATGTGGATTCGCAACACAGAAGGAAGATTGGCCTCTCGGAGCCATCAGCAGGAATGAACAACAACCAAGCGCCGTCTCATTTGCAGTCTTGGCAGCTTTTCTGTACCGAATAAACAACTTAACAAAGAGACCTTGATTTTGATGGTTTGAAAATGGGAGTGGGGTTGATTTACCCAGTGTCTGGCTTTTGCAAAAACCACACCATTTGAGCTCTCGAGCACTCTGTTACCCGATCTCCTAGGGTAAATTGACTTTTAAATGAACACAGTTAAATACCCAAGTCTCTGTAACCAGGACAAAGGCTAAAAAGTGCACCTCCCTCCTACACAAGCCACATCAATTTCAGAAAGTGCTTTCTCTCTGACCGTAGTACATAGCCCTTTCCGGCCCCAGCCAGCAGAACGGAGCCCATGGAGCCAAAGCCTGAGGTCCGCGGGCTCAGGGGCTGAGGAGGTGGGATGGGAGCTTCGGATTTGAGAGGAGGGGAATGTTGAGAGAACCATTTCCCCACCTGCTGCCATCATCTCCTCTCCTTCCCACTTATCTTGCACACATAAAGGGAAAAGGATTGAGTTCTTAGAGCAGCAGGTTCCAGTCTGTGGCCTGGGGACTCTTGGGGGGGCTGTTGGCAGGAATCTCGTGTGCAGGATGCTGATCACTCTATCTGATCATCCATCTCCCTGCCCACTCCCTTGTTGCCCCATCAGACATCAGACAAGTCCCCCACCCCAACCCATGCATGCTGTGCTATGCTGGATGCTGCTGAGAAGATCAACATGAATCTGATAAGGTCCCTGCTGTCAAGGCCACAGAGTGGCCTGTGGAAAACGTAAGGCCTGCTCACTGGTCCAAAGCACTGTGCAGTCAGACAGATTGAGGTCCAAATCTTAACTCTACCATACAATAGCTTTGTTTCCTGGGGCCTCAGATTCCTCATTGGCAAACATCCCAGTCAAGTAAGTGAAACTGAAATGACTCTGCCTGAGCACACAGTAGATACTCAATAAATGTTAATCCCCATTCTCCTTCCCAGGAGAGGATTAAACGATTCCCTAAGACTGGCCTATAGGACTGAAAATGGAGATTAAGACAGAGCAAAGCATGACAGAACTGGGAAAGACCTTTTCCGCCTTACCTAATAATTTTATTCTGTTATGGAAAGGAAGCTGCTGGCCCACTCCTGCCCAAAGCATTGTAGCTTCCCTCTTCTCCCGATGTCGTAACCATGTGTTCCTAGCACCTAGACACATGGTGGCCATTAGTGGCTATTTCATTAAATGAGGTTCTCCTGGTGTTTCCCAAGTCAATAGCAGCTCTGCACCCTGCATTACTGTGTTCCCATCTCAGCAATCCTGTGCATTATTGAGGACATAGGTTCATCTGCTGTGAAAGATCCAAAAACAAGAGAGAAATAAACTTCTGTCATGCAGACAACCCAGGGAGGGAGTGATCTGTTATGAGGGAACTCAGTTTCTGCTAGGCCTTGTGTTCAAAGTTATATGCAGTTTCCAGCTTAGTTTTCCTAATGATGCTGGAAGAGATGACAACTATTCCAGTTTTACAGAGAAGAAAAATAAGTTCAGAAAGGTGACGTGACAACTGACTCCCAGGCCAGTGCTCCTGGCACTGTTCCACAGCTGCCTTTTCTGATGGCTGCGAGTTGTGGACTGAAAGTCCTAGGGCGGTTCTGTAATTCCAACTACTTGGGTGGCTGAGGCAGGAGAATCGCTTGAACCCAGGAGGTGGAGGTTGCAGTGAGCGGAGATCACGCCACTGCACTCCAGCCTGGGCAACAAAAGCGAAACTCGGTCTCAAAAAAAAAAAAAAAAAAAAAAAAAGTTAAGATCCAGCCATTCTTCTCCTAGAGAAAAAATATCGATGTCCATGTCAGGGAGGGGAACAACACACACTGGGGCCTGTTGTAGGGGCAGGAGGAAGGAGAACCTTGGGACAAATAGCTAATGCATGCAGCGCTTAACATCTAGATGACGGGTGGATAGGTGCAGGAAACCACCATGGCACCTGTTTACCTATGTACCAAACCTACACGTCCTGCACGTGTATCCTGGAACTTAAAATTAAATTAAATTTTAAAAATTTATAGATAGATGTCCATGTAGAGACTCGTGCATGGATGTTCGGAAGAGCTGTATTTGTAATAGTCCCAAACTGGAAACAGCCCAGATGTCCTCCAGCAGGTGAAAGAATGAACACACTGGCATATCCATGCCACGGAATACCACTCGGCAAGGAAAAAGAGGGAATGACGGACACAGTCAACAACATGGATCACACTCAAAGGTATAATCTAAGTGAAAGAAGTCAGATACAAAAGGCTGTTGTATGATTGCCTTTATATGCCACTCAGGAAAAGGCAAAACCATTACAGACAGAAATCTAAGCCACCGTTGCCGGGAGCTGGGGATGGGAGGAGTGATTGAGTTCAAACGGAATGAGAGGGATCGCCCCCGGGGTGATGAAAATATTCTGTCTGGATCGTGCATCGTGGTGGTGTGGACGCACTCTATACATTTTGCAACTCTTACAAAACTGTCCACCTAAACTTCACAGGATGCAAATTACGCCTCAATAAATCTGACTTTAAAAATGTTTAAGCATTATCATTACCATATTCAGCGATGGTTTCCTCCTTTTTTTTTTTTTAGTAAAAGCTTATCACTAAAATGAGAGAAAAAGAGCACTATTTCTACCAATTTCTGCTGATTAATCCATGACTAAATGCCACATTTTCATATGGAGGGCTATAAATAAAGATTTCTATCACGCACACGGTACATGTGTGCACTGTACCTGATGAGGAACTTTCAGAGCCCCTGCCTCTGTGACAGTCGCTCGCACAGAATGGAGATGAGGAAAGTGGCTGTTCCCATGCTCATGATGCTGTTTCTCATGCTCGTGTCTCTCTCCACAGCCACAGACACACGAGGAAGGCCGGCAGGGCCAGTATTATCATTACTTCTGTTTTATAAATGTGAAAATGAAGTGAAAGATCTTGCCAAAGGTCACACAGCAGGTCCGTGGCAAACTCTGAATTTGAATCCATGACTTTACACCACAGACAAAGTCATACATTTTCATTAATCTTCTCTCCAAAAGCAAGAAAGTGAAAGGCAGGCGGGAGGCGGGGATATGGACTTAATTGCAAGCCCTGTCGAGGGGAAAATTCATGGGCAGGAAGAAAGCTTGTTACAGACGGTGGTCTGTTCCGGGAGCTTCCACAAACCAGCTCCGGTGAATCTGAAAAGGCGCCCACGCCTTCGCACCGGGAGCCTGTGAGGTGGTGCGGACCCAGGTGTGACCAGGACAAGGACACACTGGACGCTGCTCAGCTATGGCCTCCACACAGGTCATGAGGCAGACGGAGTCCCTGGGAATTTAACGTCCTGGACCCAACCCGGCCCCACCCGGTCTGGCTGCGTTGTGAAGCCACCAGGCAGCCCCTGGGCCCAGGACAGCCTGGGAAGGGAGGGCTCCATGAACAGTCCCCCACCCTCCTCCCTCCTGTGTCCCCGTTCTGCCATCGCCTCCTTTGCCAGGGCCTCAGGTGGCGCCGGATCCCCCTTCCTGGCCCGGAGGCCTCCTCTGAGGCCCTGTCCCCGTGGGGGGCTCCATCCTGTTCACCACAGGCAGCACTTCCCAAAGGGAGCTGCTCCACCGGGTCTGAGGGACGGTGGGTGGGGCGTGTGGGGAGGGGCATTTTCAGAAAGAGTTCTGAGGAAAAAAATTACTTCTGTGGGAAATTCCAGGTTGAAGTGTCATGGGTTGAATCGTGCCCCTTCCAAAAGGTTTGTTGAGATTCTAACCCCCAGTGTTACCACTAGAGTGTCGTGACTGCAAGTTGTCCAGGTTCTTGGCGTTTTGAACAAAGAATTGGACAAAACGCCCAGCAGAGCAAAAAAAGAATGAAGCAACAAAAGAACGAAAGCAGGGAATTGTGGGAGCAGACCGAGCAGCGGCTCAAAAGCCCGGATCCAGAATCTTCTAGGGTCCAACTACCCTCTACAGGTTTCCCATTGGCCACTTGTTGATCACATCATGTAAATGAAGTGGTTGCCCACAATTGGTTGCTTTCTGCAACCAATCAGAAGCTGAAATGAAGTTATGAAGGTCACACTCCTGTGCAAACATGTGATTGGCTGCAAAAAGCAAC